TGGATTACTGAGCATGAACTTTGATGTTTTGAACCACTTTGGTTATGGCTGCTTCAGAAGAGTCGACGGAGGAGAGGGTGGACTCCAGAAACCATCTTGTCACCATCAAACTGGTTGGTCCACCACTATGGGAAAGTGCTGCTTGTGGGACTGAGTTTGTTGCAGCTCCCCAGACTGATGAAGTCTTTTAGATGAACGACAAAACGTTTCAACAAAAAGAAACTGTCCAGAGGACCTGACTTAACTTTGTTGGGTTTTTACCTGGTTTATTGAGTATAAACTTTGATGTAAGTAAAGAACAATGTTTTAAGAATCAGACATTGAACGTAAAAATACTCCTAAAAATGTAACTCTTCTCTGATTAGTGTGATGTCAGACAAATCCACTGTTTGTTCTTCAACTCTAAATTAAAACCAGCCAACCATAGCAGCAGATCTAAAATTTATAGAGCCGGAGGGAAGTCTCTGATGAGACAAGAGCAAAGTCCTATCCAGATTTCAATGTTTAATTGATGACCTGGGACAATGAAGCATTTCCAAACATCTCCAAATGTGCCACTTCCATGAAACAGATATGGTTTCACTTTACTTTTAATAAAGTATGTGCTCCAAGGGTAGGCATGCAAACAATTTATACATTTTGATTGTGTTGAGCAAACAGTGATATAATACTAAAAAGTAATGGGAAAAAATTGAAAAGGACACCTTCTAAATGAGATTTCTTAATATATTCCATACTATTTCTATTACAAACATGTTTTTCAATAATCCTTTTTCGTAGGCATTCTTGGGATAAATGTTGCTACGTTGCAAAATATATTTGATGTTTTACTTATTACTTCTAAAGACATCGACAAACACAATATATCGTTGGTGGTAAAGAGATTTATGTTTACATTAATTGCTGAAGTACACATGCACTAAGGACTAATTACATTTTTATTTTAATATTAATAGCAAAACTATTTTTTTTAAAGTTAGAAATATTTAGGACATTGCAAGTTATAAACAATTGCACACCTAATTTAGTTTCCAAATCAACAGAAAACAAATAAATACAATAAGTATTGGTTTTGAACTGACAGTGTTTAAATGTGAAATCACCAAATGCATTGTTAAAACAGCAGTGCCCAAACATATTGCAAAATTATATTAAAAATAAGAAATGCAAAAATCTACAGAATAAAAAACAATAATAACATACATGTATTGTTTATTTAGCTCAAAACCATGAATATATTCACCAAAAAACAAGTATTAGCCTTCATTAGTCCTTCTAAAACACACTCAATCTTCAGTATTTTCAAATTGGAAGAGGTCAATTTAATTTTAATTGTACATTTATAAACAAAATAATATCTCAATAGCGCATTTGGTAGAGCTGCTGCCTCTCAGCGAGCCAGGTCCCCCAGTTCAAATCCTAAACTGGGGACGGGGGGGGGGGTGTTCTGGGTGAAGTTTGCATGTTTTCTCTGTGCATGCGTAGGTTTTCTCTGGGTTTATATGTGGTTTCCTCCCACAGACCAAAAACATGCATGTTAGGCTGATTGGTAACTCTAAATTGTCCCTAGGTGTGAGTGAGAGAGTGAATAGTTGTTTGTCTCGTTTGTCTCTGTGTCCCTGTGATGGACTGGAGACCTGTCCAGAGTGTCCCCTGCCTCTCGTACAGTGATGGCTGGACATGAGCACCAGTGACCTCCACAACCTGAAAAGGAAGAAGCAGGTAAAAGAGGATGGATGGATGGATGGATGGATGGATGGATGGATGGATGGATG